AACCAATCGATATGTTTCTCTCACATCAATGTTTCTCCCTGACTTATCCTCTCTTCCACTCTCTCTAAAAATCAATGGAAAAATATCCTCGGGTGAGGAATTAAAAAAAAAAACAATTAAAAATAAATAAATAAACAAACAAACAAACAAATAAATAGAGAAGTGCTTATTCCAGAGGAAAGCAGGCTTTCTGGGGGGAGTAACTTTCATCACGTCTGTGCAAATTTGTTGGAAGGCACCTGATATGTCAGAGTTATTTACCAGCTGTGAAAAACAGAAGTGAGAAAAGGAGCAGCAAGAAGAAAGGGTAACTGTTGCCTCCTACTGAGTTGGAGTCAGAAACTGAAGAAGTAAAAAGTCAATTATCCTAAGTCTTAGAAAAGGATAAAAAGCTACTTATTGGAAGGATCACATTACAAAGGTAGTGAGAAGCTTCGAATGCATTCAGTATCTTTTGGAGGTAGACAGCAACAGGTGGAAGCTGATTGGCAGTCTCAGCTTGATTTTAGAGTCACTGGGACCCTCACCTCTGTTATCCCCATACATTGGCTAGGGACTTAACCAGGGCTCATAGATTTCCAAAGGAAATTAAGAGAGCAAAGTGAAATTTTATGAAATAAAGTTTAATAAAAGCTATCATTTTCATTTCACTTTAAATTTTTTAAAATTAAAAATGTGAATGGCTGCCTTGGCTGGATGGCTCAGTTGGTTGGAGCGTTGGCCCATGCACCAAAAGGTTGCAGTTTGATTCCTGGTCAGGGCATATACCTAGGTTTCCAGTTTGATCCCCGGTTGGGGTGCATACAGGAGGCAACCAATCCATGTTTCTCTCTCTTCCTCTCTAAAATCAATAAAAAACATATTCTCAGGTGAGGATTTTAAAAAAAATGTGACTGGCTCACACTATGGTAAGAAATTTTAATGAGCACAGCCAATGTGGTATGCATGTATCATAGAAATCAGCTGTACCATGTTTCAATAAAGCCAGAATGCTAAAAATAGAACAGGCTGGAGGCAGGAAAACTGGGGGTAAAGATGGCCCTACAAACTTGAATTTAAATATTCAAGCTGTAAAATAGGGACTATATCACTCTCAAAGGTTGTGAATATAAGCATAAACACATCTCAAGCATATTTGATAAATTTCTTCTTTCCTTCTTGTGTTACCAATCTACTATCAGCGGTTCTCAACCTGTGGGTCTCGATCCCTTTGATGGTTGAACGACCCTTTCACAGGGGTCACCTAAGACCATCCTGCATATCAGATATTTACATTACGATTCATAACAGTGGCAACATTACAGTTATGAAGTAGCAACGAAAATAATTTTATGGTTGGGTCACAACATGAGGAACTGTATTTAAAGGGCCAGAAGGTTGAGAACCACTGTCTAGAGATCTTTTTACAGTATACCGGTTAAAAAAAAACAAAAACAAGTGAGACAGACAATTAGAGGAAAATTTAAGAAATCCCAAATAGTTCTCAATCTAGCTTACTTCACTATTAGGAAGCATCAGACAAGAGATTTTCAAGAGGATCTGATCAGTAATCTTACTTGAGTTTCCTAAAGAATGTAAAGGTTGAATCATCTCTCCTATCCTGGAGAATGGAATGGCCTCAGACATAAAGTTGACTTTGACATGTAAATACAATTTCAAAATAATTTATCTTTTCTATTCTAGATTCTCTGAGAAAGCAGGAGAAAAGACAATGAAATAGATTACTGTTTTTCTGCTCTGTATGAGGTGTGGGGATGAGGGCAAGCAATGTAGTGTAAATGGCTTCAAAATTTAACACTGATTCATGAAAACATTCTCAGCAAAACATGGAATAGAAGGGAACTTCCTAAACATGACATTAAGGTTACACACAGAAAGCCCACAGTTAACATCATACTCAGTGATAAAAAATTGCACACTTCCCCAGAAGATCAGTAACATGGCAAGGATGTCAATTCTCACCATTCCTATTCAAAAGTGTACTGAAGGCCAATGCAATAATGAAAGAAAAAGAAATAAAAGCCATAAAATTGGAAAAGAAAAAATAAAAGTCATTATTTGCATATGTAGAAAATACTAAAGAATCTACAAGAAGTACTAGCACTAATAAGTAAGCTTAGTAAGGCACTGGTTACTGGATACAAAGTCAATATACAAAAATATATTGTATTTCTATATTCTGACAATGAACAATTCAAAATTAAAATACAAAACAGTAAGATATACAATAACATCAAAATCATTAAACACTTAGAAACAAATCTTATAAGACATATATAAATTTATATGACAAAACTACAAAACACTGATGAAATAAATTGGGAGATATGTTAATTACAAGACTCAATATTATTAAAATGTCAACTCTCCCAAATTGATCTACATATTCAACACAATCTTAATAAAATCCCAGTCTGAATTTTCATAGAAATTGACAAGCTGATTTTAAAATTTATATGGAAAAGCAAAGGAAGTAGAATAGTCAAATGTGAGAAGGGAGAACAAAGTTGGAGGATTGACACAACCTGATATCCAGATTTACTATAAAGCTACAGTATTGGAGAAAGGATAGCAACATAGAGCAATGGGATAGAGGAGAAAGTCTAGAAACAGACCCACACATCCAAAGTCAGTTGATTTTTTTTTTACTAAGGTATAAGGGCAATTAATGTATATCCACATGCAAAACAGTGAACCTCAATCCTTATCTAACGCCCTATTAAAAATTAACTCCAAATGGACCAGTGATTGCGAGGGTTGAGGGTGTGGGGAGATGTTGACTACAAAGAAATATAGGGAACTTTTGAGGGGGAGTAATCATACTGCTCTTTATTGTGACTGTAAAGATGGTTGTCAAAACTAGCAAAAGGTGAATTTTATTCTTTGTAAATTATGAATTAAAATATATAATATGTAACTATTTCTTTTTAAAGGGAAAAAAATCTTTTAGTCTCTCAGCACTCTCTAGGAAAAAAAATCTAAATGGTAATAGGCCACAATATGCATGTAATCAAAAGTTGTTTATGCATAGGATATAAATGAAAAAGAAAAAAACAAAACTGAAGTGTCCCAAGATGTAAAGCCTTAAGTATCTACATAAATAAAAGTTTCCAATCTGCATTTGGTTTTGGTTTGGAAAGATGTTGGAAATCACAAGACCTGTCTTTCCTTCCCTAAATGCAAACAAGAAAGTGTCTTGGATGTATAATTAACAAAATTTTCAATCTGGAAACCATATTTAAACATCTTTTACCTTTATGTCCTGCAGACATTTCTAACTCCAACAATGAACTCTATTTTTTGATGTCTGTGCTCATCTCAAACTCATCTCAAATATGTACTCTTTTCTTCATCCCAATTTCTACCATTCTAGAACAAGTTACCACTTCTCTCCTCTAAATTACTTCAATATTCTTGGTCTCATTATATCCGTTCTTGCTTCCCTTTCAATTCTGCAGTGTTCTTTTAAAAATACTACTTTGAAAAACTGCCAGCCTGCCTGATGGCCCCTAACCATTCTACCTGCCTGCCTGATCTCCCCCTAATTGCCCCCTGCCGGCCTGGTTGCCCCCTAACTGCCCTGTTCTGATCATATCATTCCTTCCTCAAAACCCTTCAATACCTTCTCTATTTCTTTAGCACAGACATAAAAATAATTAATGTAGTCCCTGTTTATCTCACTAGTCTTATCTCATACCACTCTCTTTCCCCCTCTAGATCCAATCACGCTCAATGTCTAGTTCCATGTTCTTTGCTTCACAGTAGAGATGCTACATGTTTGTTCCATATATTGGTTCCCTCTGCCTATAGTACTTCTCCTCCTGCCTATATTTGCACTTAAACTTGTCTAACTTGCTTCCTTTTTTTCTTCAGGGGCAGCTAACATGGCATTTTGAGGAAGCCTTCCATGATCTCCCATGTAAACATTGATTTACTGGCTATCTGCTCTTACAACATATTCACCTGTAAGTACCGTGACATAATAAAAAATTGATTTTTGTCCCTGGTTCCTGTCACATAGTGCCTAAAACTCTTGGAATCTCCTGAGTAACAAGAG